TAGCACACAGAAGTCCATGGTGAAACAGCCTCTGGAGGACTCCATATATTTTCTGATTTTATACAGGATGAAGGATTTAGATTTGTTTTGTAAGTGGCATGATAATACAAAGCAAACTAATATTCATTTGGTGTTACCTCACTGTAATAATGGTTTAAGAGTTAAGAGTGGTAAGTTATTTCATGTTCCATGCTGTCTCTGTGGCTCTTCAATACTATGATAGCTCTTACATGGAGAGAGGCTGATTTATGTTAAACTTTCATTAAATCAGGCTAGATAGTGAATCACAAACTCTTGCCTTCTTGTTGCAGTAGAGACGGACGAAATTACACACCAAGCAATGTATCAAAGGCTTTTTTTATTGCTGCCTTTTCTTTTTACATCATTTTATAAACCTCATGTGTGATTCCAATTGGTTAGTAGCTTTCTTGTCAATTACTCTATTGGTTAGTAAAAGGTATTTTTCTTGTCCTTCAAATCTCTCTATTCTTAAATTGTTTACATATTTTCTTCAATGATTCTCATGGGATAGATTTAATGTTTATGCATGTGCTAGTTGTTTTTCACCGAGGAATAGATTGTTATGTTAACTGTTCACATCAGGATTGTTTTCATGTGGGAACCTGCAAAGTGTTAGCTTCGCTTTGAAGAAATGACAGGCTAGCCACTGATCTGAGAGAGCAGGTCTGATTTTATGAGGCCTTTCTTTTATAATTTTTCTGCCTTACTGCAACACCTTCGAAATGCTCTGTTTAATGGATGAACTCAGCCTAAAGCATTATGAGCCACTTCATCAATACATTAAAACCATCTGCTGGAACTTAGAATCACTTTGCAAAAGAGAAAACTATGAAAACGTGCTTTCACAGTTAAACGTTTTTCAGCAAGAACATCTTGTAATCTTTGGATTGTGACGTTTTCATCACTGGTGGAAATATGGCTCAGATTTGACTACTTACAAGATCAGATTAAAAAGTAGTATGAGGATGTCAATAAAACAACAAAAAGGAAATAGGTCTATATTCAAGTAGAACTTTATTCAAAATCCTATAAATAAACATCTACATTTCCAAAGGTAGCTAGTTATGCTGATGTTTGATTTGACACATCAAAGCAGGCTCAGGTCTTCACAGCATTGACATTCAGCAATCTGTAAAAAAGACAACATCTTGTCTAAGGATGCATGAGATACCACACAGTGAGCCCTCCAAACCACTGGTCACTTTTAGAGAAAGGCAGTAAAAGGAAGAAGGAAAATGCATTTACTTAAGTAAATTCAGCAATATGAATAAATTTTTTTCTTTTTCTATCTTCTGTTTATATCTTCTGCATATTTTCCCTTAATTTTTTGCAGTTCCTATCTCTGTGTTCCTGAACTGTATTCTCCTCTTTTCTGTTTCCTTCAGGAATTTCTAACCTTCTGTATGTCTCCTCTTTCATGCCCCTTATCAGTGCTTCTTCCTTTTCCTTCAGTGGTTCCTCTCCTCTGGCACTAAACACAGCAGGCTCATCTTCTCTCATCACCTCTTCCCTTTTGTCCATTTCTATAGCCTGTGCCCACTCCATCTCCCCACTAGTGTCTCCTTTCTTCCCCAGATCCTTACAGAGAAAAGAGTGCATGAATGGAGATGGTTTGGTGAACACAGGAGCTGAAGCTAGATTGCTCCCAGTTTTACTCCCATTAGGTGTCTTTTCTGCCACCTCTTCTCTCATGATGCCTGCCTGCCCACTGCAAAACAGGCAGCATATCTAGTGAGGAGGGCACCACTTGTCTCTAGCAGCAGTCCCGGAGAATGAAATCTCATTCAAATTCCCAAAGGAAAATCAACAGATTTTCAGCACCTACATCAATCTGAATGAACTGCTATGTTTTAAAGTTCTTCTTTCTTCATGGTTCTGAGCAGGAAATGGAGAAGATCATGATCTTTGAAAACTCTGCTTGCCTTCACTAGAAGCCTGAGGTACATAAGCCACTATCTCCTGATCTCATAAGATCAGGATAGGAAGGGAAAAAGGGGTGCTAGTCATGTATTTATAAACCTGCATTTTTAAACCACTATCCCCCAAGAATGTGGGAATGAGCTTCATGTAATGGCAAAATATGCTGAGTTCATATATTCTGCAAGCTCATGGCATTAAAAATATTCCTCTTAACAAGCAAACAAACTGTGTTTCCTCAGGGTTTAAAGAGAGTTAGCTTAGGAGAGAATGTAGGCACACATTAAGTTAAAATCTATAAAGAACAGGTCTGCTCCACAAAAGCTACACTCTACAGACTGTAAGGAGAGAAACACATTTCCCAGAGCACCAGCTGACCACTGCAGGCAAACGCTAAAATGCCTGAAAGAATTACTAGACCAAGCTCTTTTCAGAGAGTGTGCTGGAGGAGTGCTTTTCCAAGCAATTGAATTTTTTAGGGTTGTATGCTAAGAACAGTAAGGTTCATAATGAACATGAAACAAACACTCACCATCTACCAGTAGAAACCAAGGGATTATTCCACAGAACAGATGTGGAACCTTTACAAAAGGTTTCAGAATATGAAATAAGGTGACTCAACACAGCAGCCCTGAACTGATTTCTTCTGCAAAGATTTCAAAGTCTGTTGCCTACTTACTAAAGGATGAGATGGGTTAGCTCTGCAGAAAGATGCCCTGCAACTTAAAAATGAGGCGCTATAGTAAAAGTTTCTTATTATTGACTCTTACTTTTCACTTTTGCATGTCTTGAGTAGAATTGAGGCTGTAAAAGTAAATCACTGCTGTTCTGTGACACTGGTTTCAGGCTTCTAGTGGAGAAATTGTTCTTCACATTCCAAACTCCTTCCAGAGCCACTGTTAACAATTTGGCAAAATAACAGCTTTATAACTGACTGCTTATTCTAGAATTAATATAAAACTACACAATAATATTCTTCCATACTTAATGAAAACAGATTGACATCTTCAGAGAGAAATTCAGATTGCTAAAGGCACACAACGCTCTCTACTGTTTATAGAAGCTCTTAGGACTACTCAGGCACCCAACTGAAGAAGGATATAGCTTGTCTATAATAAATAAGAAACAGCAGTTATACCACTGATGCAGGCAGCATCCTTTTTTGGTCATACTGGAATACCAAATGCCCTCATAAAAATGGAGAAAACAACAACACCCACGCCCCCAAAAAACCCAACCCAAACCAAAAACTAACCAAACAAACAAAAAACCAAAGCCATCACCATCAGAACAAAATTAAAAGCTAATTTATTTTGTGGAAAGGTTACAATTTACTAGCCATCTAATTTATTTTAAATAATACCCTTTAGTGGTCTAAACTGTGTAGATCAGTAACCATCCAACCTGACAGCTCTTGCTTATCAGAGCCCAGGCCACTTAGTAAGCATCTCTAATTCTCCAAACAGCTGAAAAAGGAATTCAGTACTCACTGAATAATCTGTACACCAACATCTACATTTATCATATTTATCATTCATCATTGTTATGCTATGCCTATAACATTGTGCTGTACATACCATTTCTGTACTGAGCTTGCTATAGATCCATAATATAGAGTCCTGTAACAAATATGCGTGCAGTGTTTCTCTATTATCTTTGCACTTTTAACATACATTTCTTTGGGACACTCCTCAAAAGTCATGAGAACATATAAAGTAACATCCATTTATTCAACCAGACTGAAATATTCCAGACAATTTTGATCCATTGGCAGATGGATGCAGAAATAGTTGTGTAGATAGTTGTGTTCAGCTCTTAGTAACATTAGGCACATGAGCAGATTGAGCAGACCAGAGTTAACATCTGCAACTCAGCTCTGTGTCCTGGATCCCTTTTCAGTCAAGAGGAAAAGAACAGGCACTTTTAGAGCATGACACACACAATGACAGGTGTCTAGGACAAGTCAAAAAAATGTCCAAAGTGTCTTTTTTCCTCTACTTACTAAAAAGAGGGTACCTAAGTCAGTCATTTGCAGTGTGTGCTGTAATTCCCTACAGAGCCTAATCGCAGTAATAAGAATTACAGGCTCAAATGGTCTTTACATCTACTGGGTACTGATTACATCACCTAATTTAGGTACATTTTTGTCTGTGAATCCAACTGTTTTTAATTCATTTTGAGTGAGTTTAGAAATGGGTCTCAATCCTACACAAGAGAAATAGTGTACTAATAACCACAGCATTTCTTTCAAAGAAATGGGTAACAAAGCTTCCCTACTGCTGGGCAATTGTTTCTGGTTTATTAAACTGATACATCATATGGAATTAACTGTGTTCTCTCTGATCCCATAATTTCTGACCAAAAAAAAAAAAAAAAAAAAAAAAAAAAAGAAAAAAAAAAAAAAAAAAGAGAGAGAAAAAAGTAATAAAGACTATATGCAATTCTGCTGTTTAAATGTTCCGCACGATATTACATAAATGTTCTGTAATTTTGCCACAGTCCCTCAAAACAATCACTTGTCTTGACAAATACTTGCTGTTTGCTGATAAGGAGGATTACCTGCAGCTGGATGATTAACATTGCATTCTTCTTCCTGTAAATGAAAGTGCTCCTCCAGTATTTCTTTAACTCTCCTAGGTGGCTCAACATATACACATTTCTGCCCTGTTAATAAAATACATTACAAAACAACCAGTTATTATAAATCCCCTGAATGCTGATGTACTTTGCTGAATGCAGTTGTCAAGTTATGCTACTCTGCATCCACCTTCAATAAATGTGAACCAAATAATTTACAAATATTTGACAGTAGCCAGCCAGGTCCTCCTCCCCAGGACAGGAGGATGGTACAGGACATGACCCTGGTGGGGCCACCCAGACGGGGTGTGCTGGTAGCCAAAGCCACCCCAGGGCCACTCAGGGAGCCGGCCACCGTGCCTCCCCATGACAGACATCCCAGGGCAGGGCCGTAGGTGGAGAGGTATCCAAGAAGATGTCCTCGCTGCAGGAGTCTCCAGGGAGCTGAAGAGGGATGCGGACGCCGCACGGCACCAGGCCAGCACCTGCCGCGGTGCTGGGGGACATCAGTGCGGAGCCAAGGGGAGCCTCGGCTGGGCTCCCGAGGGGACACCGCGGGCTGGGGCAGGAGTGGCCGGGGACGGCCGTGCTCACGGGGCTGCTCGCCGCGGTTGCCGCTGCCCGGCTCTCCGGCCGCCGCCGCGGGTGTGTGCCGGCCCGCCGCCCTCATGGCTGCCGCTGCGGCCGCTGGGCCGGCTGCTGCCGCGGGGGTTGCCAGGCGGCCCGGCAGGCGGGGCCGCCGCTCCCCGGGCACGGAGGCGGCCCGCCAGGCAGGCTGCGGCTGCGGCTGCTGCCAGCCCCGACGTCAGCGGGCCCTGGCCGCCGCTCGGGGCACGGGGTGGGGGACAGCTCTGGTGCCATCAACAGCTACTCCTCTGTGTCACTCAGCACGGCCACGGCAGCGGGGCACGCACATCGCAAACTCCGCACCGCTGTGGGCTGTCACCACGGGCCTGCCCTACGGAAGGATGCCGGGCTGAGGGGAAGAACGACAGTCTGATGTGTATCTACTGAAACTCGAAAGTACTAGTTCGGTTTAAAAACGAGGCATCTTCAGACACTGCTTATTGGACTGAAGTGGCCTTGTAATCCACATCTTTATTATTCCTTGATGCATCTCAAGGTATATTCATCTTCTTCCACAGATGTTCTGAAACCAAACTTTTAAAAACAATAAGCATTAAAACCATGTTACACCATTCATAGTTCAGAAGCTGTTTCCATTTTCCAACAGAAAGTGCTGAACATTACATACTGCTTCTAAAAGGTGGGTGACCAAGTTGCCCTCCACAGTAGCTTGATCAGGGCACCAAATGTGGTCCAACATATCCCAACCCTGCTACAGCTGCAATTGTGCTGCATGTTAGTGGAAGGAGATTGGGATCACCCAGTAAGGCATCTGCATGGTTTACTACAGCTCTCATAGTGGCATACCTCAGCACTTACATTCAATTTTCAGTTTGTTTAACAGAGAAGCGACTTTCTCCGCTTCTAAATTACAGATGGTAAAGCTGAAGCTGAAAATCATACTGCATGCCCTTACCATGGCAAAATTTTAGTGTACTAACTCAAAAGTACAAGAAAAATACTCAATTACCTGTAACTAAATCAGACATGACTATGCTGGCTGTTTATCCTCACATGGTTGTGGCTCATTTTTTCCAACTAATGCCACATTCTTGACATTAAGTCTTTATGCAACTTAATTGCAAGGAAAAAGTAAACAGGATCTTGATAGAAAATCACTTCTGTGAAAAGCACCAGGAAAAAAATAAAGCAAAACTACTTTCTATCCTATGAATAATGTGTTTGATTTATGAACAGGCGACTGCATTGATAAATGGGCCTTCAATTAAAAATATAACAAAATACTTTTGGTTTAATATTTTATTTTATAATAAGCCTTACATTAGGTTCATTAAACATTTTGTGTATCACCCAAATAAGTTACATTCATTCTGAGCTTTCATGCAGTTTTAAAAAAGTTAGAATTTCTCAAAAAATAATTTTCAAGTGAGCCGTAATAAAGTCTGCATAACCAAGCCAGAATTTTTTCACATCAAGTAAATATTCCAGTTTTTCCTCCTGCTTTTACACTACAGACAACTTACAAAGGCCTCTCCAAATCTGCACTTATTAAACAGAAACTCACAGGAATTACTGAGACTTTCTGACCACCCTGACTAACAGCAGTAACGCTTCAAAGTACGAGCGTGGCCACTGAACTGCGCGGCAGGAGGTGACATTTTGCCTGAGGAGAATACTGAAAGATCTTACGTTAAAACCTCGTTGCAAAGAGACAGACCACCACCGACAGGCATGCAGAACACCAACAAGAAAGAGGCAGAAAACCTCACATTCACAAGCTTTTATGGGGACACAGTGTTTATGCAGTCTTCTACTATTTCAAAAAGGTAGTGATAGATATCAGTCCTCCTTGCAATGTCAAGGGCAGTTTCATCCAAGTTGTTTTTCAAGTCTGGCTTCACGTAGCGGTTCATCAGCAGGAGCTCAAGGGTTTCCCTGCTGTTTTTGTTCCCCGCAGCAATGTGCAGGGGTGTCAGCAGACCGTTTGTCTGCGCGTTGATGTCTGCACCCTGCTGGAGCAGGAACGCGGCCACTCTGGTGTTGTTCCACTTGCAGGCGCTGTGCAGGGGCGTCCAGCCGTCCACGGTCTGCGCGTGGACGTCGGCCCCTTGGGCCACCAACTCGTGTGCAACATCCAAGTGCCCGCTGTAGGCAGCTCGGTGGAGAGGAGTGTATTGATCTTCATCACGAGCGTTCACTGGAGCCAGCTTTTCCGTCAGGAGCCTCTTCACGGTACTCAGCTGTTTAAAGAAAACAGGGAACTTCACGTGATTCTATGAAACAAGATGTATGGCTTTCACGGTCCTGAAGTTTAATTTCTGTCAGTGCCAAAAGCACTTACAAAATCTCAGATACAGCCTCTCCACTCTGGTTAAAAGGCTTATTTGCCATGCAGAGCCTAGCATGCTTTCAGTTTATAGAAGTTAAAGAAAAGTGCTGTTACTTGAACTTTGAACTGGAATAAAAATTTGTTCTAAAAGCCAACGGATCCAGAGATGCTTTAGTGTGTATGGGCTACAAAGGGGGATAGTTTACATACTGCGCCTTGCAAAACCAGATCAAAACAGCTCAGAGAAAGAATGAAAGTATAGGTAAATTTTTGTTTGTGGATGAGACTACAGATGTGCTCAAAAGAACATTCTTGTAAATTATATATATTTACAGAGCAAGTGCCTTACCCGATTGTTTTCAGCTGCCCAGAGTAGCAATTTTTCTGGATGTTTTTCCATTTTCTTTTCTTGCATTTCGTACCATTCCTCGGTTCTTTCTTGCTCATCATCATCATCATCAGACTGTCCTGACCAACAGCTCTGAGTTCCTACAGGAATCAAATGCCTGTGCGTCTCCAGCAGTTCAAGTTGGTTAAAATGCTCTGTGAAGTCTTCAAACAGCTCGCTGTCATCATCATCTTCATCAGCTTGCTTGTCTTTATTCATTTTCAGTCAGCATCTGTGAGCAGCAGATGTACAACAGCATTTATGCCAACTGTGACTGTAATCGGTGCACTGTCAATTAAACTATCTGATGGATGATGCTGATGTCAACAAACAGCAAAACCCAAGGGAAAACTCAGTGATCCTCCGCTAACCCGGGCTTTGCTACCCCAGCTCAGCCAAAACTCACAGCTAACAGCCACGCTAGAAAAGCACCGTGTTACCCCGACCCCCGAACGGCACCACCTTCAGACTGCAGTGCAACACTGTGCGGGGGTTTGCTGAGTGCGCTCGAAACCCTGCTCACTTTACTGACAACGGGTCTGGAGAGCAGCCCGGACTTTGGGGCAGAGTCTCTGCTCCGCCCCAGCGGCCCGGCCCGCAGCACCGGCCCCGCTCCGCTCCGCGGGGCCCACATCACCTCGGGCAGGCCCCACCGCGCCGCAAGACACCGGCCGATCCCCGCCCGCCCCGTGGTCTCCCATCCGCCCCGCCCGGCCCCGCTCGGCCCCGCTCCGGTACCGGCGGTCCCAGCGCCGCCGGCGGCTCCGGGCGGGGCGCGGCCCAGCGAGCGCTTCCGGGCCGCGGCTGCCGGACGTGACGGAACGGGCCGGGCCGGGCCGGGCCGGGCCGGGGGCGGTGACTGTGCCCCCTGCCTGGCCCAGCGCCTGCTTTGGTCTCTTGCGCTTCGCGTACCGCCTGTGAAGAGAGAAGCTGACTCCCTGAGCTGGCAGCGCTGTGCCGGAGCCTTCCCGTGAGGAACCTCGGCACCAGGATGAGCACCATCAACTCGCAGTAAGTTCCCGTTTTCTGCAGCTCCCTGCGGTCCCGACACATCAGGCAGCAAGTGTTTTGTATGTCTGGGACGAGTTAAGAAGAGCTGGGATCATCGGTTGTGTTTTCCCTCTGGTCATTACGGTCACCGAGCTTGCCTTCATGCACGTGTAGATTACCGGTGCAAAGAGAGAATTAGACAGCTCAACAAGTATTTTTAAAAACAGAAAACATACAAAGGGTTCTTTAGTTTTTAATTAGACATTTCAGAGGGGTGCTCGCATCCCTTTACTGGAGCAGATAACAAATAATAAATATAAATACAAAAACAGATAACAAATTTGTTTGGGATAAACAAATCTTTCAACTGGCTGGTTTGGTGATGTGCTGTTTGCAGTACAAGTAGTGAAGTATTTTGAGACTCTTGCAGGACTGATACTTGGTAGAGTTTTATGGCAAATCTCCGTGTTTCATGACTTTGGACAGATAAGCTTACCTTAGTAAAGACCGTGTCTTTAGAAATTCCCTATGTGTATTGCTCTCTGACACTAGTTTTCCTGTCTTATTCAGGGATGATGAAGATACCTTTAAAATACTCGTTGCTACTGATATTCATCTTGGCTATTTGGAGAAGGATCCAGTTCGTGGAAATGACACATTTGTAACTTTTAATGAAATTCTGGACCACGCTCGAAAAAATGAAGTAAGTGCAACTTTTTGGAGAGGGAAGGACTGAGGCTGTTGAAAATATGGTCTGATCTGCCAGAAGCTGTAAAGCTTAGTCCTGGTCTCTAGTAATACCGAATCAAATGGCTAAACTATTTGTTGCATTCAGTTTTATTTCTGATTTAGTGAAAGGAATGCCTGATTCTTTATGAGAGCATTCTTACTGAATCTTGACTTTGGTTGCATTAGCATTGTTTTTGGATTGCCTGCACTGGTTTCAGTGGTATCTAGAGAGGGTTTGTCACCGCGAGGGGGAAAAATAATTGAGGAGAGTGAGAGCAGTGATATACGGTCTTCTGACAAATCAATAGAGATTTGTTAGAAGCTTTTGAAGAGTCATGCAGTGCTGAGTCGCTGAAGTGAGCAGTTCTGGTGCCGAGCAGCTCCGGTGCCTGCACAGTCGTCAGCAGAATCCTGTAGTGGGCTGGACAGAGGGGCTTCCTGAACTGGGGCAATGTCGGGGCAGCCGAGAGCCACCAGGAGCCCGCAGCCGCTGATGGGACCTGGGTGGAGTCAGGAGCAGTGGCAGCCTAGAGCCCACCCCACACCTGTAAAAGAAGCTCCTGGGGAATGGCAGCAAGCTGGAGGACTTCCAACATGGCAAACAGACCTGCTGTTGCGTGACTTTTTGTGCAGGAACAGCACTTGA